CCAGGGGGCCGTCCCCCCCCCCCCCCAAAATGAAATGGCAATGAAAGCGGCAGCTACAGTAGTCGGGCTTGAAGAAAACCAGGGGAGGCAGGAGACCTTGCGCCCGGGCGCTGGCGAGAGCCTCTCCGGGAGGATGCCGCGGTGTGTTTGGGCTGTGCCATCCGGGGAAAACCCCTCCTCCAGATCAGCACAAGGACGAGCAGAATCGCACCCAGGAATCATCATCATATAATAATAATAATAAAAAAAATAATCTAACTTCCCCCGCCCCCCCAAATCAAGCCTGGTATCTAAGGCAGAGAGCCCAACTTCTCCCATCCTGGCAGCAGCGATGCGGGACGCTTGTAGTGCCACAGAGGGCGAGGGCCGGATCCTGGCAGCCCCCTGGCAGTGCTGGGGGGGGACTGCCTTGCCCACACAGGGCCACGACAAACCACGAGCCACCCTCCCGCAGGATGAGCCGCACGGCCGGTCACCGTCCTCCTCCTCGCTGGAAGGAGTTTCCCACCCGGCTTTCACGTGCGGGGCGCCGCGGATGTGTTTTTCAATGCCCGATATGAATTTAAGAGTCTCTGGCTGGAGCTGGGGAGGGGAAGGATGAGCAGCACCCAGGTACCAAAGAGCATCCTCAGGCATCTCTACGACCGCCGGGTTCTGGGCGCAGTGGGGTACCGCCGGCCGAGCTCGGCTCCCCGGGCTTCCCCGCTCCACAGGCACGGGGCTGAGTTCAAGGCAACCACGAAATGCAGCATATTTAAGGCTTTTGGTTCTTAAATTAAAAAAAAAAAAAGGGGGGGAGGAAGTTTTTTTGGATTCTGGTTTCCTGAGCGCGGTTGGGGATGGCCAGGGGCTCGGGCCACTCTGCTCCCCGCCTAGGTGAAGGACCAGAGCTGGTGGGGGTCCGCTGGGTCGCAGGGAACCATCGCCGGGTGCTTCCCTCGTGCTGTCAAGCACGTACTGGAGGCTGGGGTTTTTATTAGGCGATCGTGCTGTCAAGCACGTACTGGAGGCTGGGTTTTTAATCAGCCGATCCTGCCGAAAAATAAAGATGGCATCAGCTCAGCGATACCCGGTGGGATGAAGAAAGGATGAGACTGAGGGGAAGCGGCAGAGAAGCATCATCACGGTGGGGATGATGCCACCATCCCCTTGGGTGATTCCCGGGGTGGAGATGCAACTCCTCACCTGCGCCAGGTCCCACTCCTCGCTGGCTGGCACCCGGCCAGGCTTCCCTCGGTACTGGCAGTCACCCAGCTCGGCCGAGCCTGAGCCCGCCCGCAGGCAGAGCTCCTTCCCGATGTTGTGCCGCAGCTCCCGCTGGCTCGTGTACTCAAAATACTGGGGGGCAAGACCAGAGAGGGGACGTCATGCTGCTGCGCCCCGAGAAAGTAGCCCCCAGGGGAAAAACAGGGGGGTTGCAGGAGGGGAAAATGCTGGGGGTTGATGGGTGCCCACCTGGTTGCCCCCCATCCCGTGGCAGGGGTACATGATGAGTGGTTTCCCACCGTGGTTGTTCTCACCGACGTCCAGGCAGCTCTTGGTGCCCTCGTTTTTTATCTGCGGGGGACGAAAGGGGCAGGGGGGTGAGCTGGGCTCCGAGGGCTCGGGGTAGGGACCCGCCTTGGGTTTGGGCTTTGCGGGGCACTTTAATTATTGCTGTACAAACACGGTCCTGGTACTAGGCGCTGTGTCCGGGTCCCTTGTCCTTTCCAGGACGCAAGGAATGCCCGCACCAACGCTTCCGCCCCACCGAGTCAAAGGTGAGAGCCGCCCAGGACGAGGTTTCCGGAAACAAAGGTGAATTAAAACCTGGACGGGAGCCAGCGCCCGGCCCTCGCCGCATCCAACGGCTGCTTTCACATTGCCCCAGCCGAGGAGGGCTGGACTCAGACCCCAACACCCGGCTTGGAGGAAAGGGGCTTTTTTTGGCAGCTCCATCCTCGGGGACGGAGCCGGCGCTCTGCATCCTGCCCGTCCCCAGCTCGGTTTTTCAAGTCCATCCTGTGCGTGCCAATGCCGGCACGGTGCTCGTGGAAGCTTTCAGCTCTTTCGCCCGATTTAACCTGATGCCACGTCCCCGCGGGTCCCCCACCCCGTAAAATCGCCCCAAACCTGATGCCACGTCCCCGCGGGTCCCCCACCCCGTAAACTCGCCCCAAACCAGCTCTGCCAGATTCCAGCTCTTTCACTGTCAGCCAGAGCCCGAACTGGCCCCGCCAGCCAGTGACAGACCTGGTGACGGATGCGGCTGCACCAAAACCCTCCAGCACGCTGGTTTAAATGCAAAACCCCCAAACCCAACCTTTTGGGGACTTCACTGCCGTGGCTATTTCTAGCCAAGGACTGAGCCCAGCGGGATGCTCCGGGCACCCCCGTGCTTACCGCTCCGTAAAAAGTTGGAGTCAGGTCAGGAACGAACATCTCGGGGTAGACAGTCTGGAGGTACCAGGTGAAGTTCTTGCAGTGGAGCTGCTCCCTCAGCTTGCGCCGGTCTGTAATGTCACCATACGTCTTCTATCGACAAAGTCACGTGAGAAAATTAAACTAATCTCTGAAGCCAGCAAGAAAAAAACCAAAAAACCTTCCCGAGCCAGGGCCCAGAGCTGAGGGGTCCTCCTGGCTCTGTCATCATCCGTCACAGCGTGCCCAGGACCGAGACCGGTGGTGGGGTCTTGCAAGACATCCCCGGTCCCTGGCAGGTACCCTCGGGCTCTGGCCGCTCACCGAGAGGGCTGGGACATTTTGGCATCACAGCACAATGTTTTGGTGTTGTAAAAAAAAAAAATAAAAAACTTTTAAAAAAATCGATGTTTTTCTACTAGAAATCATCATGGCCAAATAGAAAAAGTAAAAAATAGCTTTTTGGCTACATCTTTCCATCTGCATTTGCTTTCTGATCTCCAGGCTGAGCCCACCTCCTCCCTCTGCTCAGGCTTGAGCTCCCAGCAGGATCAGGCCCCCCTGGGAGAGCCAGAAGCCCGCCGGCGTGCCCGGTACCTCTCTGGCCATCTGAGCGGCTTGCTGGTTCCTCCTGTAGAAGATCTCCTTGTAGTCGTCCATCCAGACCTCCGCCAGGCGGACCTGGTTCCTGGAGATGACCTGGGTGCCCTTGGGGAAGGTGTGGGGGCTCTTGGAACGGAAGACGTGACCCACGACGGAGCAAGGGATGATCTCGACTTGACCCCCGCACTGCCAGACCTACGGGGAGGCAACGCCTGAGATGTGGGGGGTCCAACCCCCCCCGCGCCCCCCGACAAGGAGCATCCCTGAAGACGCCCTTTGAAGATCGCACCGACCCATCCTTACCCTGAACGACATTTCCACGTTCTCGCCCCCCCAGATCTCCATCTGATCGTCGTAGGAGCCGATGTGCTCGAAGTAGGACCTGGAGATGGCAAAGAGGCCACCGGCAAAGGTCGGGGACCTACAGGGGAGGGAGAAGGGGGGCAAAAAATAGGGTTAAAATAAAAATAGAAAAGCAGAAATCTGAGTTTTGGGGACATTGTGGCCCTCATGGTGGGTGTGAGCACTTTGCAGCTGTGTCCCCCCATCTCCCTGCCCCATCCAGCTGTGCCCCAGATGTGGTGGCTTTGACAGAGTGGCCGGATCCAGCTGCCAGGAGGGGACGGAGGCGGCGGTGGCAGCGTGACACCGAGGGGCCTTGCTGCCAGCTCTCGACTCAAAGCGAAAGGGGGATATTGTTACTGAAAACCTATCACTGAAAAGAAGGGGGGAGATTAGAGCTCAGTGGCCGGTGCCCCATTCACTCCTCCGGCTTCTCTAATCTTTTCCATCTGATCTTTAGAAGAGGCTGGAACAGAAACTTGCTTTTATTCAGGAAAAATAAAAAAAAAAAAAAAAAAAAGGATTCGCTGAGCCGCTCTGTTCCTGCCGAGCGGAGATGAGACGCCTCCGGGAGCCAAACCGCCGGCTCGTGGTAAAAGGGACCTTTATTGGGATGGGGACGTCTCCCGGGTGACCTCTGCACAAAGCCAGCCCTGCCGCCGGCCAGGAGATGGGATGCGGACGGGGCCAGGCAGGGTGTCTGGTGTCTCCCAGTGGGAGCACCCAGCTTATCGTGGGACACCAATGGAAAAGTGCAGCAGGAAAACCTGTTCAGGGTTCCTCTGCATGAAAATAAGGGGGTAAAAATAGGGTTTTCGGTGCAGTCCAATCCACAGGTGACATATATCTTGCTGCTGTGCCAGCACAGGCGCCCACCCTGTGCCCAGGTAGCTGGGTATCCAAGAGCGAGAAGATACAAGACAGCGATTAAACCCTTAACGAGAGACTTTGCAGGAGTGGAGAGGTGGCTGGAGACAATTCAAAGGTGTTTTTGCAAAAGGTCCTTTATGGCTCCACGTTTGCCAGACCCCAGGGGAGGTTTCTCCTCTGCCAGCCCCACGGCTCTGTCCGTGCCTGAGCATCCTCTCCCGGGCACAAGCCACCCGAGGTCCCTCAAGCCGAGCATCCCACAAGGGAAGCTCTGCTGGGAAGGGACAGCATCGCCTGCCCAGAGGCACCAAAACCAACAGGAAAAAACCCAATTTGTTGGAAAAAGGAGTGAAAATGACTGGAGGAAGGGGCAGTTTCCCAGCACAGGGCACCCAGCTCTTTAGCACCCCTGGCCGTGCCTCCCTAAGCACCCTGCAGCAGCCACGCACGCTCAGCCGGTTCATTCTGCAGCCTTTGGGTCTGGACATGGCGTTCCCAGGGCTCATCCAACCTTTGCTACCATCACACCAGCTCCGAAGTGGATAAAAATTCCTCCCTGCAATGTCTTACTTGATGGGGAAGGTCTCATCCTTCCTCCGCTGCTTCTCCCGGGACGGGATGACCTCCCAGCCGAAAGTCAGGCTCCAGTCGAAGTTGCCCCGGCTGTGCTGTTTGCCGTTCTGGACGGGCTTGGAGAACTCAAAGGTGTTGAGATCGATGGTGGAGATGTCGGGGCTTACGACGGCCGTGGGCTCTTCGGCGATGCGGGATAAGAGGGGCTCCAGCCAGCCGTGAAAACACTCGCCTGGGACACAGGGAAGGGTTGGCCATTGAGTGGAGACAACTTCACCCCCGCCCCAGCTCCCTGGGGACCCCTGGGCGGTGGGTACTCACAGTGGGCATCCAGGAAGGTCAGGACCTCCCCGCTGGCCACGCTGGCCCCCAGCAGCCGTGCCGTGATCAGCCCTTTCCTCTCCTCCTGCCGCACAACTCGCACGATTTGGAGCTGCTCCACATAGCGATCCAGCTCGTCCTTCAGATAGTCTGGGGGGGAGGTGGGAAAGAGCAACCGGCTCCGTCAGAGAGGGGAGATGCCGGTTCCTGCGCCCCACCAGCTCACCCTGCTGCCCCCATCCCATTCCTGCCCCTCGCAGGAGCTCCCACTCAGACCCCGCACCCGGGTTTGGATCCGGCCGTGGGCTCAGGGAGACGTGGAGCCTCCTTTCCCCCAAAATCCAAGAGGGTTTTTGGCTAAAGAAAGTGGGTTTTGCAAAGGAGCCGGCTACCCGCCCTGTCTAATCCTCCACCAGAGAGGGATTAGAGGAACAACGGGGTGAGAAGGTCTCGTGCCCTGTGGCTAAAGAGTCACCGGGACTGAGCAAATGAGCCGTCACCGCGGGAAGGGACAGCTGACGAGGTGTCACCCAGGGAAATTGGGATTTCTCTCCTTCCTTGGCAGATGCAGCCAAGCCAAAAGCTGGGAATGGCCAAGCAAGAGCTGGGATGTCCGGAGACCCGTCCTGGGAAGGGACCCTAAGTCTCACGAGCATCCGACCCGTGTCTCCACTGCAGCAGGAGCCAAGCTCACGGGCAATAAACCCCTGCACTGCCCTGAGGTTTCTGTTCCTTGGGAGCCCGTGCAGACGCCGGGAGCAGAAAGGGAGCATTTATCTCTGGGGCGAGGGCAAAGTCTGCTCCTCTCCAGTGCCCCGACACTGAACCACATCATTAATTTGCTCTGGGTGTAGCTAATGAGGATTGCAGCCTGGCGGGCAAGCTGGCCGGCGGATGAGGTATTTGCAGGGTGTGGGAGGAGCGCCCGGTTTTAATCCAGGGCTGGGCTAACAGCAGTGCCGGAGAAGGGAAAAACCCTGATGGAGCTCCCAGGTGGATGCGAAACAACGCGGAAGAACTGTTGGATGCATCCCGGGGTGCTTGGAGACTCGGCATGAGCCGCTTCTCCGAGTGGCTCAGAACTGCTGCTCCCAGGGATGGAAAGGTGCTCGGCATCTCCCTGCCGAATACCAGGGGCTCTGGTCCCTGCATCCCGCCGGCTCCCGCATTCCACCACAGCTCCCGCATCCCACCACGGCTCCCACCCACCGTCCGTGCTGGCATCGTCCACCAAGATGATCTCCTTCAGCACGAGGGCCT